AAATTTTACAGCTATTGTGTTTGTTAATAGGGCTGTCAAAACGGCTCGTTGTTCGTAAACAAGTCGTATTCGGCTCATTAAGAAGCTCGTGTTCTAAGTTAACGAGCCGAACACGAATGAACAAATATATGTTCGTGTCAACGTTTCATGTTTGATGAGTAGTATTTTTAAAAAATTTAATTCACTACAATGCTACAAAGAATTATAATCAATTAAAAGTATTAATTAAGAAAATAGAATAAAAATTATTAAAATAGATTCATATGATGTTTTAAATCTTGCCTCAATCCGTAACATCTTTTTGCTACGTGATATGAGTTGTCAAAACGACTCACGCCTCTTTGTTCGTGATCGGCTCGTGTTCGGCTCGCTAAGCAAACGAGCCGAACACGAACACACTTTCTTAGCTCGAAATATAAACGAGCAGACGTTTACACCCCTATTTGTTAATATGGATATTTAAAACATAAATTTACTCAATTTATAGCTATTTTTGAAAGTTTTAAAAACAAAAAATTAATATTTTTTACTGTTTTTTTTTTGTTTATTTTGCTGAATTTAAACACATCTACATATTTTGATAATTTTATCTTAATTTTAAAAATATAGTTGATGGCCTGAACTTAATTTTAATAATTTCACTTGAAAGAAAACTGGTAAATAATGAAATTTTCAGGTTATTTTTTATACATATAAATTTCATTTTGCTATTTTTGTTATTTTAAATTTTAGATCAAATAATTCGTATGATATTTTTGCAATAAATAAATTTGGAAAAAAAATATCGAATGATTTTGATATAAATTAAGATTGAATAGTATTTAAAATTATTAAATTTATTTTAGGAATAATGCTACATAAAATTAATACTACATTAAGTGAGTTTGAATAAGTTAATATAAAGTAAAATCAATAATTTTTAATCCTTTTTAATATAATTTATATCAAAATTAGGGGTGTAAACGAGATGAGTAGAACTCGAGCCACACTTGAGTCGTGCTTGAGCTTGAATAACTTTATTGAGCTCGAGTTTAAGAGTCTATTTAGGGTGGTTATAGCTTATTAAAAAGATGTTGCATAACAGCAGTGCCAGAAAGCTACTGCAGGGAAGTTATATTTCTGTTTGTTTTAAGCAGTTATGCAACAGTTGTGCTGCAGCTATTTATGAATACATGATATTTCTGCATCTGTAGTTTTGTGCTGCTTATAACAGAATTACTCATGGTTGTATATTTTATTCATAAGAAGATATATCAAGTTTGAATATTACATAATAAAAACGTACACCTCACTAAAAAGTGAGTAACACAACAATCAAAACTAAAA